TTGTTATGAGCAAAAAGGCAAATATTTCTGATACAGAAAGCCACCAGTTCAAGGATAGTTGCATTAAAATCTTAACACTTTACTGTATTTTACTTAGACCATTAATATGGTTAGTCCAGTTACAATGATATTACCATTCACACTCCAAATTATCAAATTAATGCAGAAGTCTCAGTAAAAGTATAGTTTAAAAATGTCACACAAACACTTTCAAGTATCTACCCTTTTCTCAGTGTTTATGCTGCCCCTTTAGGTCCTAAGGTTGGCAGCACCCATCCTCCTCAAAAAGAAGGGAAAAGGGTGGTTTAGTGAGTTGCTGGCATCCTGAATTCTTCACTAGGAGGACAGTGCTGTTGATGGTTTCTTCTTCCTCACTCTCAGTTCCACATGGGGCTTATTTAGTACATTTTCTGACATGTTTTTTTGCCTTTTTCTTTCTTCATTGATTGGCAACATCACTTTTTATTATGTATTTTGTTTTACATATGTTAGTACATTCCTTGTTCTTCCAAACCTTTTTTTCTCTTTGTTAGCCTTAAAATCATTACGTCCAACTCCTCAGCCAGTTTGTTGGGGTTTTTTTTTGAATGCTTATAGGCCTGCAGTCTTTATTATCCCATTTCTATAGTCTTGTAAACCACATTATTATGTTCGTCATAAACATTTCATTCTACACAGAATAATTATTGTATAGGTAAAAACTTTGATTATATCACAAGATTATGCAAGTATAAATAAATATAAAGGATATAAGGAAAATGCAACAAATTAGGCAGTAGTCACCTGATCATTAGAAAAATTGTTGCAGCTAAAGAACCTAAATCAAAACTCCAGATAGGCAAGGGAAGTTCAGACAAAGCCTGAGAAATTAATCTTGAGGCCTTGCAGAGCTGGTACAAGGTCTACGGCTTGTTACTAGCAATGGCAATACTGGCTTACAGAGCTACAATAACAGCTGAACATTCTTGCACTGTTTTTTGTCTCTTTGTCTTATTATTACTTCTCATTAGAAAATTAACTAGTTAGGAAGTCTAGCTTTAGAAAAGGTTGTAAAGGCCTGGGTTTTTTGGTTCTGCGTTGCTGTTTTTCAGGTTATATTCAGTGGTGCTGTACTTTCTTGTTTTAATGTTGTTACAGAATTTCAAATCTTGGCTGTTTAAGCTAGAGCAAAATCACCAAAGGTTCAAGGAAAAAAGAAGCAAAGAGAAATCCGTGGGGAGTGCACCTAACATAAAGTGAACTCGCAACTAGGAGCAGTTGTACCTGAATTTAGCAGGTTGGATAGACTTTACATATCCTGACAAAGTTGAGAATAGCCTTGTTAGGGTTGCATCCTTACCTGGAATTTACCTTTTCTTGAAATACGAACTGAAGACCTGGTTTTCCATAGAAAATTTGGGTGCACCATTGCATGCTGCATCTATACAGGATTCTTGCACAGTCTGAATGCTGCTTTTGCCACTGTGATTTGGGATTAGAAAAGGCATCACGGTAAGAGACAGTGAAGGTGTCAAATGACAAACAGACAAGAAGAGGGGGAGAGTACAGTCTGTAAATCAATGAGTATTTTAAAACAACATATTTTGGAACCAGGAGAAGTGATAGTAATAGATGTCTCTATACTAATAAAGGTGCATTTATCCCAACCTGTTAGGACAGAATGAGTAAGAGAGTTGTAAATACCAATGCAGATAGCACTATCAAGCTTAGGCTTATCTTTCACAGTCTCCATACAACTAACATGCTAACAATGAGCTGACTCTGAGGACATATGCTTTTATCACAGTAACAGTGTCAAAACAGCATTATACATTCAAAACTTATTTTGCAGATAAAATTGCTATGTTAACAGAATGAAATCTCAGTTGTTCAATTAAATATTCAAAAACAAACAAACAAAAAAAATAGAACTAATACCTAAACAGCTCAGGTTAGGGTGAATAATATGGATTCAATTCAACATAGCGTCTGTTGTCGCCACAGCAAGAATAATAAACAGATCATAATGTAGAAAAAAAAATCAACTATTTAGATTGCTGTCATCTCTTACTCATGTCTGTAAATGAAATACGTTCCTCAAAGAATTTGTGCCTGTAAAGTACTCATTTTTCTTATAGTTAAGACAGTGTTTCCAGGGGGTAAACTTATTTTCTTAAGTAAAGAGAGTAAATAATGTCTGTAAGGGAATTGATTAGTCTCTTTTTTCATGGATTATTTCAGCATTTCACTGTTGCAACAGAAAGTATAGCCACTCAGTTCACCTTTTGTCCATATCTAACCTTGATGAGAGTAAAACCATTAACAAGGGCAGGTTATTCTCTGTGAACAATTCTGTTCTTCCTCAGTGAAATTCATGGCTGCTGTGGTAACTACAGAATAATAATAGGCAATGGACAAAAGTTATTAAGGTTGTTTGCAGAAGTCAAACATCAAGGTGCTTTTAAAGTGAGCCTTTAAGTTATTATAAAAGAAGCCCTACAGCATCAGTGTCATTTGTTATTTAGTAAAGACTTCCATCACCCAACAATACTCATTTTTCCTTTTTAACCCTAGTCATGTTGTCCTGTAAATCAGGTTTATAGGAAGGATATTTCTTTATTAGTTTCAAGTCAGATGATGGTCAGTAGAAGTAATCCTCTGGGCAAAATTATTCCCAGCTTCAGCTTCAAACAAGTTTTGATTCATTTATTACATTCTCAGTCTGCGTGCAGACCTCCTACTGACATCAGTAACAAGCAATGCACTGAGAAAAACACAGAGCTTTGAAAATGGGATGTTATTTGTGTTTGAGAAGAGTATTTTAACATTTTTCTCTGTACTAATGCTGTCACATTTTATATGCAGTGGTGGGGTTTGCTGTGGTTTTATGTTTTGGCACCAGCCTGTAATGTGTGTGCCATCATGCTGTATACTCATGGAACAAATCCCCAGGGCAATATTACATTTGCAGACTACTTTATGGGATAATTAAGATAACAGATATTGTGAATTCCATAAATATCCAACAAACTACACAGAAGTATGTAAAAAAAAAAAAAAATTAGCTAAATCCTATCAAAATGGAGTTGTGACTTAGCAGCCTGTCCTTTGCTTAACCGTAGGAAAAAAGCTGCAATGGATCAGGGAAACAAGTGATCCTTGCAAGGGATCAAGCAAATGAAATATCATGCTAGCCTGCAATTTCAGTGATCTACTTCAGATTCTTTTAGATATTGTGGGTTATTAAGTAACCAAATTATATTCAAGTAATTCAGCACCTGCTTCATCAAGCTACAGAATATGGAATTAGATATAGACCACTTCAGCTTCACTGATTTGATTATGTAGTAGAGAGAGACTGGTGAATACACATTAATCCTATGAAATTAAATCAAGAAAATTAGCTGAAGATATTCCTAGGGGTCGATTTGGTGTCTATTTGCATAAAATGCTGAATTACCTGCTTACTGAAATAACTTTTTTTTTTTGTGATGAGTAATGGAATGGAACTGAAGAGTACAAGCTTAAACCAGAAATCCATTTAACTGTTGGCTCTCACAACAACCAATACCAGATCATTAGAGCATACAAACAAACGTTATATAATTTTTCACTCAGTGTTTCCTAATGTGGAGTATGGAGCCTACACTGTTACTTTGTTTATGTTCAATTATGTGTAATGGACTTTGCTTCTATTATTATTTTCTGAACCAGTTTGTTATTCTTTTCTGGTTTCTTCAGTATCCTGTGTAATATATGTAAGTATGATGTAATCGTGCACACTCTGAAGAAGCATTTCCTTTTTGTTGGCTTTAAAAATTCTTTAAGATAATGCTATATGATGTTTCCTCATTCTTATGAGAAATGATGACATAATAGGCAAATAAAGCCTATGCATCCATGCCATTCATAATTTTATAGACTTCTGACCCTGTTGTCTCTTTAGGAGTCTGAATTATTTAATATTTTCACATATAGAGAGATTTCAGTATTTCTAACCATGTTTTTGTCCTGTTTGTAACTTTTCTATTGGAACTGGATATTTTATAGTTGGTGGGAAGCTTATTACTCACTATTGTCTACAGAAGTAGTCTAAACAAATAATTTAAGATGCAGAAGTCTATCCTGCAGGCTTTTCAAATTAAGCGAGATTAACTCCCTACCAAATTACTTAATTTCAACGTTAAGTACGGACATTGAAGGCCTGTGTTTTTATCTCATTTTCTTAAGGTTTTCTAAGCAATTAAGTTTTCTAAAAAATGCCACCTATAATAAGTGACTCATTTGTAAGCAATATCAGTATTCACTTTTATTTTGATTTACTGAAGTACAACAATAAAAAATAATAATATGGTAAAAGATGTTTACGAAACATGAATGAAGCATAAGTAGTCCTAGAACTTCAAAAATATTTGATCTGTAGGTGTGTTTCAAATAATTCAATCAGAAATACATTTTCATCCTGAGGAAAATATTTACAATTTACAGTAATTTCCATTTTTGGTTGGAGACAAAATGGAATTTTGAAGGACAGTGATAAATAGAAAGCACAGCATATTTAGAAAAGCCACTGTCCTGGTGTGGTTAGTGTACATAGCTCAAATGCAAGACACAAGTTCTGTTTAACTTATTCAGAATAGGTACTTCAGCCTTGTTCTGCCGTACCCAGAATAACTGATAACGGAAAGCTTTCAGTGGATTATAGAATGCCTCACCTGTTTTGACCAGCTGTTTTTCTTGAACCTGAAAAAAACATTCCTAGTTCATGTTTACTACAGCCAGTGCACTTCAGCAAGCTGGTTTGAGTTCCATGAAATGTTTTATTAAACAAAAAAAGAAATTGTCACTGAAGCAGTTTTTCTTTTCCTCCCATTACATGCATGAGATGTTCCTCATGCATGCGAAGTTCTCTACTTTGTATTTTCTCATTGCTCTAACAAATCATCATGTGCTTTGCATTTTCCACATTGTATTTTATTTGCAGTATTTAATAATCTCTCTGGTTTATATATTGGTTACAGGTTTCTCTTGGACTTCTACATGCTCGAGCTACTCATATCCTCTGGCCTCCACAACGCTGGCAGAAGTTACAGCCAATGCTACCTCCAGAGCGCAAACCACTCCAGAGAGAGCAAGAATGATCTAAATATTCAGATGGAAAAACACTGAAGTGAAATTTAACCAGGAAGAGTTGCAGCTTGTAAGAGCTTTGCCAAGTATGCTTTAACATCAGGCACCATATCAGAAAATACATGCAAAATCTTCATGTTAAAATGCCACCTTAAGTGTAAAGTTTGTTGTTTGTTTTTTTTTGTTTAGCTGTTTGTTGTTTTGTTTTTTTTTTTTTTAATCTCAAACAGTAGTGTCTTGTGCGCTATTTTGGTTTGAAATAACTGGTTGTAGAAGGTTTGAATTTTTCTGGGAGCAGTGAAATGCTTGACTTGTTATGACTGTACTGGTGCTTCCCTGGATAAGAAATTACTAAAACCTTCAATAAAATATTTTAATCTTTTACATTCAACTTGTTTCTTTAGTAAGGGAATGGAACCTTTATTATTATTATTGACTGCATATGAAAAAAAACCCCAAACACGTAATATGCTTTGGATTGTCCTATAATTTCTAATACTGAAGAATCAGTACTTCTGTAGCTGAAAAGTTAATCACATATGTAATAAATTTTTTTCAAAAAGTTAATGAGATTTTATTCTTTTAATGCAGCTTGTGTTTATTATTAAACTGAGTACATATTACTTAGTTTTAATTTCTCTTTCAGGAATGTTTTATATAAACATTCCTTGGATATCTTGCTGAAGTAGATATTCAGTCAAAATATACAAATTATATTGCAGTATCTGAAGGCAATGTTTCATTCATTTCTCAAGTATAGTAAATCATTGTTAGTATTCATTTCAACATTTCTTTGAAGCTATGTAATTAGATTATAAATACTAGACAATTAATACTATAAATATGTAATTAACATTATAAATACACTCTGTGAATACTCAGTAAACTTCTGCCTGCACACATTATAAGTGAAAAGAATTTGAAGAATGACACATTTTCAGCTGCAGATTATTATTGAGCTAGCTTATTTTCATAATTATTGAATTTTACTTCAGATAGGATAGTACTTTAAAAATTTAACAAATCACACAAAAGATCTTTAAACATTTCAGCTAAAATCATGTAATTATCAGAACTGCAGACAAGATGAAAATAAGTCTATAGCTCTTTGAAAACACACATCTGCCTATCGGTTAGATGATAGGTTCAATCACCCTGAAAACTCTCTATTACTCTCTAACCTTCTTAAATGCTCCAGCTCTGTAGACTCTCTGAACACTTTACTGTCTACATGTGCCATGATCTTTCTGTGTTCCAAAAAGCTGTTCCATAGGTCTCTGAACTCATCTTAGTTAAAACTAATGCAGTTTGTTTGGGTGTTAATTGCAGTAAATTCACAATTATTTTGACTGGCATAGGGTGATTGAGAACAGTAGTTTGCAATCTTTTTTTTTTTTTTTTCAAATTAATTAAAAAAACTGAAATGAGTTCAAGAAATTTACTGCAGTCATAATTAATTTTGGTGACAAAGATGATACAAACACACATCCATGAAAGGAGACAGAAAGAGACAAATATAAAAAAGAGCGGAACAAAACCAGATTAGATGAGCTTTATTTCTCTCAGTTGTTCAGGTCTTCATTTCCCTTCTTTCCACTAGTTCAGCCCCTCCCTCCTCCTCCTCTTGAGTATCAACTGAGTAGAAGTTCTTACACATATTGACAAGCTGGAAAATTTTGTTGGCTGTTCTGATTCACTGGTACATATTCTGCAAAACCAGTGCCAGAGAGTTATCAACAAAAACAAAGGCATTTGTTCCTCGGTTATTATCTTGATTATATTTTTCTATTTGTGTTGTCTAAAGATACAGCCAAATGTGTCTGCATCAGCTACATTTCCAAAAAGATTCTCTGAAGTTCCTTAGGACTGCAGACCTTATAGAAGAAGGATCCAGAGATATGTGAGAATAAAATTACAGATGAGAGAGAACCAACGGCTGCATGCAAGCTCTTAAGGGGTGCCAGATCTTGCAGCCCAAGAGAGGTGAGGCTGCTCCAGCTCCATGTCCCCAGATCCATCCAGCAGCAAGGCCAAGCATGCATTCCATCTGGGTACTGTGTATAACACATATGTTACATCCATATACATGTGACTGACCACACGCATCAACAAAGACAAACGCACTTGGTACTTACTTAAACACTGATGGCACCAGTGACCTCATCCTGTTCCTCTCACTGGCTGATCAGGATGAAAATATGTAAGTGGGAAATATATACAAATATATACAGTGTGGATGCCTCCAGCATCAGACACCCATTTTGCCCAGTATACAGAATCCTAGTCTCCCCATTTGCTGGCACCTGGACAAACAAGCCCCCAGACACCCTCCGGTAGATCTCTCCAGTATCTGGGCTTAGACACCCAGTCCATCCAGCTGTTGGACCTGGATCCTCACTCTCCCCATGCACACACATACACACACAAATGGGTCTCCCAATCAAACCACAGTCCTGGCAGCTGGCTGGGACCCCATGGTGCCTCTCTTAGATGTGGTGTCACCTCTAGGGACACCCTCACCTCGCCCTCCAGGCCATGTTCCTGACTTGCCAACTGGTCCGGCTTGGTGCTGCCCAGTGTCATTTACTGACAGAGCACTCTCATCTCGCCCCATACTGGCACCACAAGCTTCCCTCCCCTGGTCCACCTCAGCCACTGGCACTCAGACCGTCCCCACACATGCACACAGCCCAGGGAGCTCTGCACCCAGGAAAATGACTAGAAATGGAGTTTAATGAGGAGATGAGACAGACTGCACTGATGAGGCTCAGGCATCGACAGACCAGCACCTGTCGATGTGCGACTGGCTCCTTTCATACCCTTCTCTCTCTATTTTTCCACACTTGATCGTCCCCCAACCACCCTCGTTTCCCTGACTTCGGTCCCCTAAACATCCCACAACAAGTCTTGTGCAGTACTAAAATGCTCTTGTCTGCACCCCACAGCAAACCCTATACTCCTGGGCAGTGTCACCAGTCTGTGGGGCAACCCAGAGAGCCTCCCCACTGACAGCTGGGGTTAGCTGTCCCCTGTGGGGCTGGTTCAGGGGTTCATGCCTGTGACTGCGTTATTGAGGTCCCCCCACCATCATGCTTCTGTGCTCCTTTATGGCTGTGAGGATGAGACTTTCACAGTCTGCTGACTCCTGTAATAGTCACAGGGAGCTAAGTCATGGTATTATTTGGCTTCCCCCAGCTGCCATTGCTCCTCTGGGCTCCTTTGTCTGTGCAGAGACCAGCTCTTTATCACATAACCTTATACAAGCTATGAAAGTTTAAATGTCCCAAGTATTCAGCTGTGACATGTCTCAAGGAATACATATTCATAGAATCATAGAATCATAGAATCGTCAAGGCTGGAAAAGACCCTTAAGATCATCGAGTCCAACCGTTAACCTAACACTGCCAAGTCCATCACTATACCATGTCCTCGAGCACCGTATCTATCCGTTCTTTAAATACCTCCAGGGATGGAGACTCAACCACCTCC